TTCTCAGTTTCTCAGCAGCTGCAATGTCTGGCACAGACTAACATAGCCACATTGAGGAATTACATAGCCAATCAGACTATCCAAAATAATCGTACATATGCTACCACGATGTACGACGTAGGTACAACTGTGCAAGCATAGCGAAGGAAGGAAAGGCCATTTAAGTGCAAGTAAACTTGGTGGACTTTTTGAGCCACACTCGGCCGAAGGAAGACGTCGCTGATTGTAGCTACACGTTAGAAAGCTAAAGCTACGAGCATTGGTGGCGTATGCGGCCGTATCGGTTGGAGCTTCAGCTTTGTTTGTAGCGTGCAGCCACAAACAGAGCCGTCTTCTCTTGCCAAAATTTTGATAAAGATCCCCTCCCCCCTAAATAAAAGAGGCCCTTTCCCGGGAATTTTCAAATAAGTTCGGTGAGGTAACATAACTTCTCACAACTAAGTCATATTTCAATGGTTTCACACTGCACAATGGTCGTTATCGGGTTAGTTTCCAATGAAATTTGTGTTCATCCCTTAAAACAACAAACCGGATGAAGAAATATAAGGTTTTCACAAATTGACACATATTTCTTGCTTGCCATCGAGGTCACCGATCTTGGCGGGAGACTGCGTTGGTTGGCAGCACTGTTATCGTGTGTGGATCCTGCTGACAGCCACTTATGTTATTGTGGCACAACATACCCTGTTTTCTGAAAGCTTGCGCAAAATTGTGTCTATGAGTGACGTCTTAAGCTCTCGCTTTGGTTATGGTAAGAACTTGCGTAGTGTTTGTTCAAAGTACTGTTGTCCTTATCATTTTCACTTACCATGTGTGTGTACGTTTTAGGTTGTGGTGGTCTGAGGAGTCCATGAATTGACCCACCCTGAACATTTTCTCCTTGTCATATTTTTTGTTCTAATGTAAATTTCAAGGATTTCATTGTACCATGGCTCTTGACGTTCAAATATCGTTTAGTTGGACTAACTACTGTCGGCTGTGTCTTCTGGACAATGGCATTATGTTACCTTTATTTGAAGGAGAGGGGCAACATCGTAAGCTGAGCCACAAAATTGAAACCTGTTTGCAGTTAGTGGTATGTACTATAATGTTTCAGGTTTTGTTTGTATTATCCAAGTTACAACACTTTAAATCTATTGCCTTATGTTTGCTCAGACCTATGAAGGTGACCCCTTGCCACGCAAAATCTGTCATACATGCCTCTCCAAAGTCACCCAAATGTATGATTTCCGATCAATGGTATGGGCCTCATATGAAAGGTTAAAACCTAAACTACTACCTCTGCAACATGTTCCTGAAGTTCAAAAGTATCTCTTAAAAGCTGATAGTCTGCAAAAAAAAGTAAGTTTAATATTATCAAAATAAACTTTTCTGATTTGATGTCAATGACTTATTCAAATCCCATTATTTAATGCTGCTTATTTTGAATCTCAATTTTCAGTTAGACTCCAGCTCTCATTGGAGCCAGTGTTCTACACCAATCCCATCAACTTCCAAAATGTAAGACCTTTATAAAAAAGAAAAATAGTCATTTTCTGTGACATTTGAGGTAAAATATATCAATTGCAATTCGTTTGTTGCAGGAGTGGGACAGATCGTCTTCCCCTGATTCGTGTCAAATCTGAGGAAGAGTTAATGCAAGCCCCTGACTGTTCATCTTGGCCATCATCAACTCTGTTCTCACAGCTGGAGTCAACTGTGACAGAGCCTTTCTTGTCAAGTACATCCTTCATCAGCTCATCAATCACATCAGACTCCAACATTCCTGCCATGGAATCAGCTCTGCCTTCTGACTATCAGAGTGATTTTGTTGGCATGCAACCTGAAACTTTAAAGAGGAAAAGGCTTTCTCATACTTCAGACACTAACTGTGACAGAGTCTTGTCTCCTGTGTTGAAAAAAACTAAGGGTAAAAGAAAGCAACTTGCGGGGCCTTTATCTAGAAAGCAGCTTGCAGGGCCTTTATCTCGAATGCAAAATCAGAAGTTAAAGTCAATATGTGTGTTTTGTCAGTCACATTTCTCCAGCAAGCAATCCTTGAATACTCATCTTGAAACATGTTTGAGTTGTTCAACATGTCAACAAGTGTTTTCTTCACTTGCTGACAAAGCCATGCATGAGGCTGAAAAACATGTTTCTGTGTATATAGATTGCAACCAAAAGCATTTGAGTAAGCATTGCTCTCATTGCCCTGCCCAGTTTGCATCTAGTGTGATGTTAACTATGCACATCAAAGAAGAACATTCCTCCCCCTCAATACAAAATCCTGATGATCACCTCGACGTGAAACCACCACGCTTGCTAGAAACAGGTAATTCATCCTATTCATCCTATATGTCTTCGGAAAAGAGTCACTTTGACTGCAAAGATACAAGTGATTCTGAAGATCACCCCCTGTCTGATTTTAAGAAGATTGGAAAGTCATACCATCAGCAAAGTAGCGCTCAGATGAATAATGAGTCTGTAGTCACCCATGATAACCATATTTGTAAGTTGTGTAATGAGACCTTGCCTAGTGCTCTTGATTTAGAGGAGCACATCAAAAAAATTCATGGAAGGTTTAAGTGTCCACATTGCGAAGACTCTTTTAGTTCCAAACCGGGATTAAATTCCCATCAGAAATTCCACGTGTATAGGGCCAAAAAAAAAGGGAAATTACGAGAGAGCAAAAGCAGCATTTTAAAAGATCTACTTGTCTCTTCCAAGAAGCCTTTTCAGTGTGATTTTTGTTACGAAGACTTCGAGGAAGAGGATGCATTTATTTTGCACCTCTATGTTCATGCCACCGAACACTCAGATGATGAAAGTATACCCGTGAAAAAAAATAGGAAAAGTACTGGGGACTTAAAAAAATCAGTGGCTTCTAATGTTATTGAAGAATCTGATAATCCTGTTGAACAATTTAGTGTTAAGTGTGAACGCTGCCATGTTGTGTGTCGGTCCAAAGAATATTACAAAATTCATCTTGCTACTCACATGAGCAAAGCGAAAACAAATTTTCCTTGCAGTGGTTGCAACCAGGATTTCCGTAATGTAGAAGCACTGAATAGGCATACTTGTTGTGGTAAACTAGAGAATATGCAAGTTTGTTGTTTGGATTGTGGACAAGCCTTGGTGAAAGGTGCAGACCATGTCTGTGACAACAAATGTCCAGTGTGTGAAAAGGTGTTTAAATCTGCCAGAGGACAAAGGCTGCATTTTACTTCCAAACATAAGCCAAAACTGCTTGTTGAAGATGGTTATGATGATCAACTTCAGGAAACTAATTCTGCCGACAAAGAGTACCAGGAGGAGATTGATAAATTGCATGAAGAGAATGAGCTGTCAACTTCACCATCTATTAATGAATCATCTGTTGCTACATTTAGTGGAAAAAACTCCTCTGCCCCACATTACAGTGCGAATGAGTCTCCAGACTCTCACTCAAGTAGAAATATGTCTCCTGACTCACGCCCTTGTGGAAGTGAGTCTCCCACTACACACATCAGTGGAGATGACCTTTCTCATGTGAGTGACTCTGATGCAGACAGCTCAATTGGAGAAAGTCCATTGAGGGAAAGACTCCCTCCTGATGGGGCAGCTTTGGAACCATTGTCTGTCCATTTGGAACAAATTGAGAAGAATGCTCTCCTCTCAACTGCTCATAGTTCAGGTGATGAGGCTGTACCGTTTATTAAAGAGCCTCTCCATCCAAGTTCTTTTAGTAGTGGCATATTATCCAATCTGTGAATGTGTTAAAGTATTTGCCGAATCTCTTTATTTTTTTTTTTGATTAAAAAGTTTTAAGATGTTTTCACATGGAAATGTTAAAGTGCAGATTATTGCCATTGTTAAATTTAATTTTCTCCTGTTCCTTTCTAAAATTATGAAATTAGCATTTGTGTAAAATCATTTCTCTTTTATTTAAATAACTGCAGAAAAAATCATATTTGTAAATCATCCTGTTGTAATATTTTTAAAATTAAACATTTTACTTGATTTATGTGTTAGTACTTGTAAGTTACCTTTTTTCAGAACTACCAAATCTGTATCAAGTTTCTCTGATATTTTAGAATGCGTACTTCATTTCTGGTTTAAGAATATACTCTCAATTTTTTTTCCTATTGTTGTGTTTTCCTTGTCCCACATTATCTTCCCTGTTTCATGTGTGGGATACGAACGTTATTTAATTTTAATTCTCAGTTTCTCGGCAGCTACAATGTCTGGCACAGACTAACATAGCCACATTGAGGAATTACATAGCCAATCAGACTATCCAAAATAATCGTACATATGCTACCACGATGTACGACGTAGGTACAACTGTGCAAGCATAGCGAAGGAAGGAAAGGCCATTTAAGTGCAAGTAAACTTGGTGGACTTTTTGAGCCACACTCGGTCAAAGGAAGACGTCGCTGATTGTAGCTACACGTTAGAAAGCTAAAGCTACGAGCATTGGTGGCGTATGCGGCCGTATCGGTTGGAGCTTCAGCTTTGTTTGTAGCGTGCAGCCACAAACAGAGCCGTCTTCTCTTGCCAAAATTTTGATAAAGATCCCCTCCCCCCCCTAAAAAAGCGTACCAGGCGGCGGATTCACGCCGCGCACTTTCATAGTTATACTGTACCGCGTGCGGGCGGTTTGCCTACTCGCACGGGGCAATAAGGTGCAGCCGTCGGCAGCGACCATAGGCAAACCCGCCCGCACCCTTGCATGCGGTAAAGTATAACTTCGAAAGTGCGCGGCGTGATCAGCCGCCTGGTACAACTCGAATGGATTTTGTTGTGTTGCTCCCTTCGTTCCATACACTGGCGATATCCCCAAAGTGAACGTTCTTCTCCGCAGGGAAGACAGAGCTGTGGCCGGTTTGCTTGCGGGAGAGAGAAAAAACAACAAGACCCCAACGTTTACAGTGTGGCTGCTTTTCTGTCTCCTGGTTGGTCGTCGTTGGAGACGAGCCCCCCATCTAGCCGCGCCTCCGGTTAGACCGGCTGCTTTTGTGCTCTCGGTATCGCCGGTCACATCCATCGAGAGAGAAGAGGATGACACCGAAGCCTTGAGAAGGTGCAGGAGGGGACTTGGATACCGAGTTGTTTTTGTTGTGTCCCGCGCCGACCCTGATAACGCCCCGTGCTGGGCTCCACGGGCCGGAGGCCCGCCAGTCACAGCAGCGTCGTCACCGAGGTAGCGCGCCGGAGCGCCCAGACACACAGCCAGCCATGCCCGCCGGGGAGAAGGTGAGGCCCCCGATCAGGACTTTGCCCTCCTAGGGCGCCCGGCACGTCGTGCTATTTCCGCATTAGGGATCGTCCAGAGAGTACGTCCGTTTTTTCTTAGGTTCATTACGCCCAGGAGATTGGCGCCCGCGAGACTCGGGGTAGGCCACCTTGCAGTACACGCCCGCACTGCAGGCGGGATTTTGCCTACCTGGCAGGCGCTATGAGAGCCCTGCTTCGTAGCTTGCTTATTTCGCTGAACTTTTCTGGTTCGTAACGGCGAATGACAGACGTACTTTCTGGGTGATCCCTTGTGTCTGTCTAGACGAGAGAGCGCATTCTACTTTGACGCTTGAAAGCCGGCAGAGCGTGCCTCGTGTCGGGTTGCTACGCGCCGGAGAGTGCGGTCGGCCGCCCGTCTTTCGGCTCCAGCAGGTACCTTGGCTAGGTTCCAGGTGTTGTTTACGCGACGAGCGCGTCAAGACGAGACAAACAGTCATCCGGCAACCTGGGCGCTGCTGTCAGGAGTCAGGAGTTGGATCCGACCGACTTGCAGACTGAAACTCTCGAAACTGTCGTAAAAAACGCTATTCCTCCTGATCGGATTACTTCGGAGTACCTGAAAATTACCAACCCCGGCACACGTCCCCGTTTGTAGCTACACGATTGTAGCTACAGCCGAGAGGGCCCGAGTTAGCTTAAACTGATCTGTCTATAGACAAATTCATTACTTCCGCCAATGCTAGAAAAATATCAACAACCAGAAGTAAACAGTGCTAAGAACTTAAGCGAAAACGAAAGATATCAATGCCTCTCCGAAGCTCTCGCCTTGTCCAAGCGCCCAGAGGGACAGGGGGCCGCGGGGGCCCGATTCCGGAAAGTATTGCCTACCCTCAAGGCGTTTTCAGCGACAATCATCGACCCACTCCTAGATTGACACGGGGTCACTTCTTAGCTTTCAGGCGTCCAAGCGACAACTCCTTTCGCGGCGACAAGTGGTAGTAGACACGTCCCTGTTTATAGCCACAAATGGGGCAACATATACGATGTCCGACGCCACCAGCCACACGCCCTTTTTTCAGCTAAACAATTGTAGCTACAGTCGACATGACGGCATGCAGCTTCATCCGAACCAAACTTGTTGGCCCTAAGATCAACTCCCGGGCGGGGCATTTTTTTTTTGTCACTTCTTGTCTCCCGTTCGGCAGCACCAAGCTCAGATCTCGACCCCGGAGGGGCAAGCTGGTGGCGTAGCGTGTTAGAGCGTGTTCGTTGGAAGATCGTGGGGATGGTCGGTTAGTTCGAATCCCGTCCGCGATCATTTTCCCTGCTCTGCTGGCCAAGTGTCTTCGGGCGTCAGATACAGCTGAGATCTACGTTCCCCCTATCGTTCCTTCGTGGCCAAGTCGGTAGCGTCCGGGCCCGGTATGAACACGGTCGCTGGTTCGAATCTCGTCGCGGTGGATATTTTTCGCGCTCCGCTGGCCATGACTTTACAGCCGTGCGACACCTGATGTGATTGGCCGGTACGCAAACAGTCGCTGGTTCGAATCTAGTCGACGGAACTCTTTTGCCCGTCTGCCGGCCATGTGTTTCGGGGTGTGAGCCACGGCGGAGATAAGCTTGATGTATCCAACAGCCTCATTGGCTCAGTTGATATAGCGCGCGCCCGGGACGGGGATGGTCGTGGGTTCAAATACTGACCGAGGCTCATTTTTTCCCATTTAGTAGTTTGCGGCGCGGGGACCAAGGGTTAGGACAAAAGACCAGCCGACATGGGAAGGTGAACTTGACCGGCTACTCAGCAGATCCCCCCCCCACCCCCCAAAAAAAGAAAATCAAATTTGCCCCGACCAGGACTCGATCCCCGGTCCGACGACGTCTTGTGCACCACGC